ACAAACCTGCCAGCTCTGAACTTCCTTCCTGAGTTAATTCTTGCTCCTTTCCCTTTTAGTTAACCATTCTCCCTGCCTTAGCTCATTGTGGTGGTATCATGTGATTTTTATGGTTCAAAGACCATCCAAAACCTTGTGTGGCAGGCACGTTTGCTGTAGTGGCAATCTTAAGTGTAACAAACTAAATTATAATCATTGTTATTTCTATCCTTTTCTCCAGGTCACGCTCTCGTTGTAATACCAGCAGTGGTAGTGAGTCAGAAAATTCCAACAAGGAGCATCGAAAGAAGAGAAACAGGTGAATATCAAATATATCAGGCTTTGAAATGCAAAACAAATAGACTGTACACAGCACAAAACATAAGTAGACTGTACACAAATATAAGTAAATATATTTTTTAAGCAAGAGGGGAAAATAGAAGAACTGCTGATAGAAGAACTGATGTATTGGCCATCTAACTGAGATCCTGTGTGGCAGCTTAAAGCTCAAGTTTGTGTATTAGCAATTTAATTATGGAGCACACATCTGTGGATACAATCAATTCACATTCACATACTGCTCATTTGGGAATAATTCAGTATTCATTATTAATGCACTGTGCGATCAATAACATAGGAAAGTTTACACAAGATTTGCATTATTAATGCTTATTGTTATTTATTGCATCGTTAGTTCACTAATGATGCATGCTCTCTCTGACAGTGCCTTTACTATATTCCTACATACTTGTGAATATTCAGAATTTTATAATACGGTTAAAATAGAAGGAAGCAAACAACTTTTCCATTCAAAATACAAATTCTATTTGTAAAAGAAAAATGCACTTCAAGAAGATGTCATTACTCTTATGGACTCCTTGCTACAGAAAAACTGCTGGTAGAATAGAATTAGCTAGATATTAAGCACTCCATTTCCCCTTTCCATTTATTTTACTGCAATCTCCTCTGAGATGGAACTCATTTAACTTTCCTGTCAGTATATTTTACTGATGTTTGTAGGCTCTAATCAAACAACATTCCTTGCTTATCACACATTACTTTCTTGGTATATTAGATTGGTATGTTGTGGAGTATAAAAGGGTATTTTCATCTTTTGGGTAGTGAATAATTTTGTCCAAAAAACCAAAAAAGATACTATACATTCAATCTTGGCCTTGTTACGCAGTAAGTTTAGATGGCTTCTGGAACTCTTAGCCCCTGCATTGGCTGCACGTTAACACCTTTTAGGTGCCTTAAGTGCAACTTTGCTCCCTGGGCACATTGGGCAGAGCAAGCGCTGGAGCACCTGGGCTAGGGACAGACATTACACATCAACCGGTTTAAGTGATCAGAAACTGGTTTAAACCTGTAACAGAACAGTCATTCAGTGCACATAAACCAGTTTGAAAATGGCTGGAACTGGTTTGAGATAAACCTGGTTGAATGTAGTATCAGACTTAACTGATTTGGGTCAAACTGGTTTATGCAGTGTCTGTCCCAAACCCCTTCCTGGTTTAACTTAAACCAGAGTCCCCCAGCATCCCAGATGCTTTGCAGCCCTGGGCAGGGCTCTCTGGTCCCCATCAGGGCTGGCCCCTCCCCTCTACTCCCTGGCTGGAGGTCCGGCAGGGACAGTAGCCTCTGCCTGGCTTCCTTGTGCTGCCCGCCCCCACAACCTGGATTCCCTGTTCCTGTCTCCTAGAGCACGGACCATAGCTAGCATGTGGTATGCTAGCTCAGGGGTTGTCAACTAAGGGTTATATAAGAAGGCCCTAGGGGATATGCACGCATGCATGGGTGGGGATGGAGCGCCACCATGTACCATCCCACACTGCCATGCAGGCACTGCCCACCTAGCTGGATGTGGATGGCAGGGGCAGCTCCAAAGATCTGGAGAGATTCGGAGACACGGATTGGCAGGGGAGAGGCAGGGACAGCTGGGCAGCTGCAGGTTCTCCTGCTGCTCCTCCAGCTGTGCCTGTCTCTCCCCAGGCAGGGGGAGCTGCGGGAGAAGCCCCCATGGCTGCTCTGCCCGGCCCCATTCCCTGCCTGGCCCCAGCCTTCTGGCACTTTTTTTTTTTAAAAGCCCCACATTCACTGGCTATAGTAGTGGCAATCGGGGCCTTTGC